ACACTGTTGGTAGACTATAGTTTACATCCGAGATATACCAACACACACATTAATATGGACTGGGTACATGAAAACAGTACTTCACAAACGACACAAAACTTAAGCCAAACATCATTAATTCATGGACGTAATTAGATATATATACGAAGACAGTGGATGGATATTAAAGTTTAACTTGTTCTCCGACTAGTGGCTAAAGTTCGATAACTCCCACTTAAAAACGAAAAAAATACGCCGGCAGTTATTTTTGTTCCATGTGTGTAGCACGTTAGGAGCAATTGATGTATAATATGTTGTGAACTTGAAGATGTATTTGTAAAGAAAAATCAGTAGAGTTACATAACTTCCATTTTCTTGCTGTCATCCTATTTTGACATTAGTTAGCTTATCTTCAGCGGTTGCAGACATTGGGTGTGACGAAAAATTAACACTAAAGGTAGGGTCGACATTTGGCCCCCACATAGATTTCTATTGTTTTATTTATTAAATGAAAAATTTCATGTAACAGCCTAGAGTTCATAAAATGTCCGTTATTCTGATACCACATATGTTATTTTATTATATTTTATTGGCATTAAAAATGTAAGCATATTTTAACTTTGATTAAAAAAAATGCAATATTTTCACAAAATAAAGAATATACCAAAGTTTGTCAAGTTCATTTTGTATAGGTGCAATCTCAGTCTATATTTCATACTTTTTTAAAAAAAACTTTCTACGTATACATGGTGTCTATTGAATAAATTCTAAGTGATTTCAAAACCGGTAAAATATATTTTTAACAATTTAAATATGCTTATTGCATAATTTGCCATTATCATGAAGATTTAATTTTCGTCGTTTATTATGCCAAATACTGCTATATTTTCCAGTTTTGTGTATCAAAGCACAATAAGTATTTTGTATTTGTTTCAAAATGAAATTCAGTAGGTATAACATAACATTGTTTTTTCTGCACTAGAAATCTATCATCTAAAGAACAACTAACAGTATTACTGATAACATGTTATCGTCATTCCACTTTTCTTCATTTATCATTAAACATAACAATAATGGATATTAATTAGTTAGATATTGATAATAAATAAATGAGGCCAGAAATGATAACTTGTCTGACACCTGAATTTGCAAGTGTGTTAATTTCCTGGTATTACTATAAAGTATTCATACCATTTTTGCTAAGTATCTATAGACAATTACATAGACAAAGTTACACTTATGTCAGACATTCTGTATTAAATTTAAATTACTGCAAATCTCCCATCAAGTTTACTAATAATCATGTCAGATGTGTGCATAAGGTCGTGGTTGCAAAGCCAGGTTGAAAGATTTATCTTAAGGAGCCCGAATTCAAGTAAGACATGTATATCTACCCCAGTATAACCTGCTGCACCAGCTGCTGACTGCTGAGATCATTAGCATAACAGAAGAAAGCATATTATGTGGAAAGTGTTACAAGCGGTACCTCAAAAGGTCATTGCAGTCTGAATTGTATGTACCTTCTGGTATGAGCACTACAGATGATTCAGATAATGCTTACACTGATTTCATGTCATCCAACCAACTACCACTAATCTCTATTGAGAAATTATTTTATGGTGGCAATTCACATAAAAGATGTGTCATATGTGGAAAAGAGGGCACTTGGCTATGCACCAAACCCAAGCGTGCCAGGACAAACTTGGTATTTTTCCATTTTCTATGGTGTCCCCCTGATGCTCGTGTTTGCAATGACCATGACTTTCTGAATCCTTCTTTGCCACTAGATCTGCAAACAAGGGAACCGTTAGCTCTTTATCTTCAAGAAAGAGCTAATCAGGTTATCAATGACCTTCTAGAAACTAAGTCATTTCCTTTCTGCTGGTACTCCAACCAACACAGGCATAGATGTAGACCATCTCAGAAACGAAGAATTCAAAGTATGGACTGGCTACACACTTGAACAAATGCAGCAAATCCATAGCATTTGTTCCTCACACATCAATAGAGGATCATGCTCCTCTACATTCCATGCTTTGTTTCTTTTCTGGGTTAAACTGAAGACCAATATTTCATGGTCTCAACTTGGTGTTTTGTGTGGTCTTATAAAAAACAGTATGTGTCTCACACATTTCAGAGTGTCTTAAAAGCCTTGAGCCAGACCATTGTGCAACGTTTCCGTGGTCCAAGACACATTACCCGCGAGGACGCCACAACACTGCCTTTACAAGATGTTTCTTCGGGGACAAAGTAACTGTAATCCTTGAAGGTACCTAAATTTATGTCCAAATACGTGCTGATCACCCCCTTCAAAGATCCTCATACCGTGGGCAAAAGAAGCGCAACTATGTTAGATTCATGAGCATTGTCTTTCTAGATGGTAAAGTACTAGACACTATTGGCAATGGAAATTATGCAAATATCTTGAAAACAATTCTTAGAACAGTTAAGAACCTGACCTTGTGGCTCAGTGAAGATGACAATGTGATTGTTGACCGGTGGTTTAGGGATGTGTTGGAGCTGTGTTGCGAGGTTCAGGTTTTTATGTGTACACGACTTCCTATCTTCTGTCAGGTCAGACACAGCATGATACACTTACTGCCAACGAGGACTGCCAGTGTACTAAGTCAAGGTGGGTTGTGGAGAGCTACCATGGTCGACTGAAACAGTGGAAACTCCGTTAAAACTACTTCCTTAGTGTCATAGAGGAACTGGTTAAAGTAGCTACTGCTTCCTTGAATGTTGTACGTGGACCAATTGATGTGTCCACACCAGAGAGGGACTTGAGGGACCGTTGCCTTGGTGAGCGAATGTAATCCAATTGGCTCTGCCCGACACCCTGACCTCAAGGGTTGTAGGTGATCCTGACCTTTCTAGGCGCAACAAGGTCTGTTCAATAGTTTCCAGTACTGGATATGGGATATTTAGAAACAATAATCTGCGGATCGTGCCAGTTGAAAGTAGCACCCAAATATACTGATGAGTATCTGACTCCTGCTGGAGACTTTGAAGTTTGTGTCTCTCAGAATGATGAAAATCTTCACCGAAGCCAAATCCATTCAAGGCAGAGATCACAGTCGAAATACAATGTTTGGATTGCGTTTGACAGAAATGATCAAGATGACACTGTCAAAGATTACTACTGTGTCTGTCCAGCGGGCAAGCAAACCGTTGGAATGTGCGCATACGTTGTGTGCATTTTGAATTTCTTGAGCCATGTTTAGCATCAAGATCAAACTAACCCAGTCCATGCAACACTCAAGTTCAAACAAGCAATCACTTGAACAATTCTGCTGTACTAAAACACAATGTAATGTGCTGCAAACTGCAGCTGTTCTATATCTTATTAGCTCCTCAAAGTGCCACAAATTATGGATCGGAACTGACAAAGACAAAACCCGTCACTATTGCTGTACATAATCTATCTAATAAGGTCACTTTATTGACCTTCATCAAAAGATTTGTATGCAGCTGCTAACTAAATCTTCAAATTGTGAAAGTTGCACAAAAATGTCTTTATTTTAACAAATTTCATTTGTGTGACCTTGAACAGAGGTCAAGTTCAGCAATGTTAACCAAACTGATACAAATTGACATGAACAACCACCTTGTCAAATAACAAGACCTACAGACGTTTGGTTATTAAGCTGTCACTATTTAACGAAGACGAAAAGAAATATCAATGTTTCTTGTTTTTTAAGCAAATGTGTAAAATGACATATTTACTGGTTTTCATTTTTTCCAACAATCCTTCTTTTGAAAGATATCAAGATGTGGCCAACTTTTAAGCAAGTATGAAAAATAGACTGGTTTCGGAAGTATGGAAATTGAAGTGTCCAAAACAGTACTTTTCTCACAAGTAATGGTTTTTTATATGAATTTCTTATATGCATTTTTTTTCTCCTGAAATAGTGTAATACGTGGTATCAAAATGTTGGTTGGTACATTTTGCACACATTAATGACATAATTTTATTTGAATTGTCTCATAATAATGCACTAGAAGGAATAACATAACAACTACTTTAACACCCACCAAGGTGTTAGTCAAGGAGCTCCCATTTTATAAGAAATCAATTACGAGACTAACTTTTCCGTATTTAAGTTTTTGATACCCATATCTGTTTATGGTTATTATATTTTGAAATTCCAAGTTGGGGCCGATGCTAATGTTAAATTTCCATTTGTGTTGACCCCACCTTGGATTGCACATGGTATGAAACATTGCAGACGATATGTAGCAGTGCCTTCACATACGCTGTAATTATGAGGTGACTTCAGAGTAAAGTTGATCTTATGTTACACGATGTACATATATATCATTCGAGATTATTTACTTATCTTTTATTAGTTACAATAAAATATCGTAGTATCGCAGTCTTGGAAGCAAGACTGATGCTGTCACTGCTGGAATAACGTCTGTAATATATTCATTGGAAACATTCGGCGAATTACAACAAAGATTTGATATACGACAACATTTTAAAGATGGAAATTTGTTTATCAAAGTAACAAAATATGCGGAAGGATTACTCTGTTCTAACTCTGCGAGTAAAGTTCAGGCACATTTAATTTTCAAAATTAAGCAGAAAGACAAAAGTGGCTTGCCACTTCAACCTTTCTTATCCATCCTAAACCACAATTTTATATTTGTAGACAATGAATGTTCATCATTTAGCTTAACAACATTGTCAAAGAACTTATTAATGAAACTAATTTTCTCACTTGAGCGTCTTTAATATATAATGTTTCCTTAGGATCGTCACTTATTGGCTATTGGAAATTGCATCAGGGATGTTAACAACTTTTATCAGATATCTTAGAAAAATTAGTGAAACAAATTATTTGTGGAACATGTGGTTAAAATTTAACCAAAGCACAAGAACACAAAATACATATATGCTTACAGATCAGTGGTATATTTCCTTCCATGATGAGTCTTTTTTCTGATTATTTATTGGAAATGAACGTAAAGGAATTTTCAGTAAGACAAAAACAACCTGGAAAAGTAAATTGGTAAAGTTATGGCTGAGTGTAAAAGCTTGAGAAATCCCGAAGGGCAAATTCGTTACACTCGCTGTTGATACAGCAGAAGCTGCACGTCATTGCCATTCCGGGGAGTCCCGAAGGGCTATCGTCCATGTTCAGAAGGCAGTCAGGTTTTGGAGATGTCTTGTGCCACCACTTGTCAATGCAGACGGCCTCTGTAACACATCTGTAACAGAACCACGAGCACTTACCCTCAGTCACATCGATACATGATAAAAATCGGTCTATGTTTTATCTACAGTAAACGGTGATGATGTTAACAGACTGCTCTCGCTGTTGTTCTTAACCCATGAACAGTGATCATTGAATGAGACGAGTAATCGAGTACTCCTCAGCATGATCATAATGATCTTACTGGGATAAAGTTAGACATGTTTGATGCGTGACTTAGCTTGGATTGACCAAGATTTACATGCCATGTACTTATCGGCGAAGCAGGAAACTCATACTCTTTTAGATCAACTGGTCTTAATCTCCTTGTACTTTCTCCATCGAATTCTTTCTTTTATCATATTTTGCCCTAATTTCAAATTTGGGTTTGAATTAAGATTCTGTAGAAATGTCAGTATCTTCTTTTTTGTTCATTTTCTGTATGAGTTACAATTTGTGACCCCTTTTTGGAGGCATCATAACGTGCTCTAATTTTCGCCTTCAGTTTGACTCACCCCTTCGTGAAGATTCGGTTTCCGGTTGGATCCTGGTCAATAGTTGTCAGACAGTAGTTGGAGTTAGATGGACATGTTTTAAGCTTCTGACTAGTGCAGTGACTGTCCTGACATGTGTAACACTGGAATGCTGAAATCGTAAATCATTCAGTTAATATCTTATATTATAATACGTGTTGCGAGATACATGACGCTTTCTTTGGAGTCAAAGCACAACAAGATAAAACGAAACTACAAGAGAAGAAACTATATATAAACCTGTGTTTTGGGTAGGTCCTGCTGTAGTATTAAGGACCGTTGACGTCGGACCTGACGTAGAAGCTGTCGAGATTGGTGTAGGAGTTGTGGGTGTTTTAGTTGTTGGTACTTTGGTTGTAGTTGGTGCTGCAGTGGTGGTTGGCACTTTGGTTGTAGTTGGTGCTGCAGTGGTGGTTGGTACTTTGGTTGTAATTGGTGCAGCAGTCGTGGTTGGCACTACAGTTGTTGGTACTTTGGTTGTTTTTGGAACTGCAGTCGTGGTTGGCACAACAGTTGTTGGTACTTTAGTTGTTTTTGGAACTGCGGTCGTGGTTGGTACAACAGTTGTTGGTACTTTGGTTGTTTTTGGAACTGCAGTCGTGGTTGGTACAACAGTTGTTGGCAATTTGGTTGTTTTTGGAACTGCAGTCGTGGTTGGTACAACAGTTGTTGGTACTTTAGTTGTTTTTGGAGCTGCTGTGGTGGGTGGTGCAGTTGTTGACGTTTGTGCACGTGTTTGAGCTTTGGTTGTGCCAGGAGTTGCAGTTGCAGATGATGGTGTTGTAACTGGGGCTTTTGTTGTGACCTTTGACTTGACAGTCGTTCCCAAAGTCTTTAGAAGACCTGTCGTCGCCTTCTTCGTCGCCGCTGCTGCAGTTGATGACTTTGTCATGGATGGTAGCTTTGTTGTTGGTGTTGACGTTTGGGGCTGTTTTGTCGTGACTGATGGTGTGCTCGACGCTCCAGTGGCTATAATAGTTTGCTGGGCGATCCCAGCTGTAGTTTTACCTGTTTGAGCGACAGGTGTTGGGGTGGTACTTGGACCAGGTGTGGTGGACATTTTACCTGTCAAATAGTATTAACAAGAGAAGCTATAAATCTCAAAAATAAATCGGGATTTATTTTCTCGTTCACCATGTTAGTAATCAGAGTGTAGTTCATCTCATGCAAACGTATTAAAACCATACGGGTAACATTTATTCTAAGCACTTGTTAAATTTCTTTGGAACTAATTCAGTGAAAATAATACCGCATTTATGATATTCCCCCATATACGATCGTATGATAATATTTTGGAAATGTTTCCCTTTCAAGATGTTTGCTTCTTTAAAGCCACTGAAGCAGCTGGTGTCGCATCTACACCTTCACGTTCACAAGACAACGTAAATACTGTGACCTTCATTTGATAGTAATTTGTTGTTATATATACATATAAGAAAGATGCTGGTCACAAAAATATCACTTCTTCTCATTCCAGGAATAATAAACACTATATACAGCATGCATTAGTATACAAGCAGACAGTATAAGAAGCGCCTTTCTTATAATGATTAATATAGCATGCATTTATTTATTGTCGATTATATACAATCAAGAAATCATGTTTGTAATGTTTCTCATTAGAAAAGATGAGTGTAAGCTGCAGTGAAAGTCTTGTATGATGTAGTGGTATACACACCTAAATAGTTCCAGCCAAACAAGAGACAAACAGACCCAAAACCACATCAATTGTTAAGCAACACATATCAATCTCTTAATACTCTAATGGACTTGGATGACATTGTTTAGCTTTCTAAATTTATGTCTCTCCTGCGTTTTGATACACTTGTTAGATTATTGTTTTGTGTTAATTCAAGGTATAATACAATTTATACAGGATGGTACAAAAGACACACACAAGTGAATAGGACATTTCAATACAAATTTAGAATTAGATACAGTAGTGCCGAATAATGGATTTTGCTATCGTGCAGCTGTTTAGTCCTTGTAAGACTTTTGAAAGACGCTAAAGGCTTAAATTTTGAAACCTCGGAGGCGGCTGAGCAAAATAAAAAACGATTGCAAGAAATGTCATAATAAAGATATGGAGATTCATTAGCACCAGAATTCATTTACATTTTATTTTCGAATCTTTCTTGTGTACGTGATAATTTCAGCAGTTATTTTTTTTTATCTGTAATAATAATACTTTGGATGATGACAACATCAACTATATAAGTTTATTGTAGACCATAACCCAACCTTCCATCTTACAGTTCGAATTGGTTTAAGTCTTGTCTCATTTAGCTTGCCTCTGTGTTGTACTCCAAACACAGGGTACACCAGAACGATACATATCGAAATTCTTATACACTTGTATGAAAGATTGTATAAATGATACATTCAACACGAATTTCTTATGAAACCAGATCATACAATTGTTTCTTGGTCGGTCTAAGACTTGCTGTAAACGGAATAAAACTTTAATAACTGTCAGTACATGCGCCCGTTGTTAAAACGCAATTGGATCAATTAAGATATGGTATGAAATGTTTAGGCAAACGAAATATCCTATTAAGATTGAGAGTGGTATGAAGAGAAGAGCGGTGTCCACTGAAAATCAAAGTGTGATAATGGCAAGCGTAAAACAACATGGAGAGATATATTGTCACCACCGCAGCTTTCCTTAACAGGATGATTTTACCAGAGAAATATTACAATAATAACTAGCTGATATACTAGATTGTTATTTTCGAGGGAGTTATTCACGCTGTCGTCGAAGACGGAATAAAGATCAGTAGAATTATCTTGATAAATAAAATCGAAAACAAAAACAAAAACAAAAAAAAAAAAAAAAAAAAAAACAAAAAACAAAAAAACAATCACCTCTTTCGTGACTTCTGCGAAAAATTGTCGGATTCCCTTTTGTATAAAACATTTGGTAAAATCGCAAAAAAATGAAATTAAATAAAATGAAAATAATATTTAAAAAAATAAACCCAGTGAATGTAGATTTGACAGATAGGTTGCCAATATTGAAGAAATGATTTATTATTTTTAGGACGAGCAATTGATATCAAGGGAAACAAACCTACCTGTATAGTGTGCTTTAAAGTTAAGGATAAAAAATTAGAAAAAAAAATAATAAGCATAAAAGCTTCTATTTATATTTTAGATCTAATTAAATTATGTTATACGGGATGTTAACACAAAGCAGTGGTGTCAAGGTATAAATGCAGGCTTTATAAATGCCAATATACGTAATTGAACCATCCAAGCAGACAACACTGACAATAGGACACAGGATGGGAGGCAGACAGATTGTATGGATACTAAGGCTGGATCATACATGATTACAGATATAAGTGGTAAATCGAAGCATTAAATCGTATTTATACCACGGCAAGCAGCACGGTACAAGGTTCACAGCAAGCGGTATACACCAAGCCAAATACCATCACTTGTGGAATTCCTTTGGAATCCACTTACTTGAGGTTCCCTGACTGCTACTGGTAGGTGGCTTTTGGCTGGCAGGACTCCCGCTGGAATAAGAGTTCACACTATTCTGCGTGTTGTTATTGGCGCTATTCTGATTTGTGCTACTGGAGCTACTCTGACTACTGGTATTGGCACTATTCTGCGTGTTGTTTTTGGCGCTACTCTGAGTGTTGGTAGTGGCACTATTATGACTTGTGCTACTGGAGCTACTCTGAGAATTGGTATTGGAGCTATTCTGAGTGTTGGTATTGGAGCTATTCTGAATGTTGGTATTGGAGCTACTCTGAGTGTTGGTATTGGCGCTATTCTGAGTGTTGGTATTGGAGCTATTCTGAGTGTTGGTATTGGAGCTACTCTGAGAGTTGGTATTCGCGGTATTCTGACTTGTACTACTGGAGCTATTCTGAGTGTTGGTATTGGAGCTATTCTGAGTGTTGGTATTGGAGCTACTCTGAGAATTGGTATTGGAGCTATTCTGAGTGTTGTTATTGGCGCTATTCTGACTTGTGCTACTGGAGCTACTCTGACTACTGGTATTGGCACTATTCTGCGTGTTGTTTTTGGCGCTACTCTGAGTGTTGGTAGTGGCGCTATTATGACTTGTGCTACTGGAGCTACTCTGAGAATTGGTATTGGAGCTATTCTGAGTGTTGGTATTGGAGCTATTCTGAATGTTGGTATTGGAGCTACTCTGAGTGTTGGTATTGGCGCTATTCTGAGTGTTGGTATTGGAGCTATTCTGAGTGTTGGTATTGGAGCTACTCTGAGAGTTGGTATTCGCGGTATTCTGACTTGTGCTACTGGAGCTATTCTGAGTGTTGGTATTGGAGCTATTCTGAGTGTTGGTATTGGAGCTACTCTGAGAATTGGTATTGGAGCTATTCTGAGTGTTGGTATTGGCGCTATTCTGAGTGTTGGTATTGGAACTACTCTGACTTGTGCTGCTACTCGAGCTTGTGTTGGTTGTACTACCGGATCCTGTGTTGCTATTACCATTGCTACTGGAACTGGTGCTGCTATTGTTGCTGGAACTTGTGCTGCTACTCGAGCTTGTGTTGGTTGTACTACCGGAACCTGTGTTGCTATTACCACTGCTACTGGAACTGGTGCTGCTATTGTTGCTGGAACTTGTGCTGCTACTCGAGCTTGTGTTGGTTGTACTACCGGATCCTGTGTTGCTATTACCATTGCTACTGGAACTGGTGCTGCTATTGTTGCTGGAACTTGCGCTGCTACTGGAGCTTGTTTGGGTTGTACCACCGGAACCTGTGTTGCTATTACCACTGCTACTGGAACTGGTGCTGCTATTGTTGCTGGAACTTGTGCTGCTACTCGAGCTTGTGTTGGTTGTACTACCGGATCCTGTGTTGCTATTACCATTGCTACTGGAACTTGTAGTATTATTACTACTGACATTAGTGTTGCTACTACTACTTGTGTTGTTGTTACTATTTGTGTTTGTATTACTACTGCTACTGGAACTACTGTTACTGGTGTTTGTGTTGCTACTGGAACTGCTGTTACTGGTGTTTGTGTTGCTACTAGAGCTGGTGGTGCTACTGTGACTGCTGGTGGTGTTACTATTCATGTGTGTATTTGAGTGATTGTTGTTATTATGATTACCGTTGTGGTGGTGATGATGGCTCGTGTTCCCATGTTGATTGTTTTGATTACTGTTACCGTTCATAATCGACGAAAGTTTCCCGCCATCGATGTGTATATGCACATCTATGTCAATTCTGTGATTTGTACAACAATTATTGCCATTGTGTTGATGACATTTTCCGCTTTGTTCCCCGGAGTTGCCACCGGAATTTCCTCCAGAATTTCCTCCAGAGTTTCCTCCAGAGTTTCCTCCAGATTGGCCTCCATACGATGCCGGACTTTGAGTGATTGGAGATTGAGTAGATGGAGAATTGGTTGGATTAGGTTTCGAGGTTTTAGACGGCGCGGTAGATGGCGTCACGGGTGGTTTAGTTGATGATACAGGCGTTGGTTTGGATGTTGTAGCTCCTGGGCCTATCGGACCGCTTCCAGAATTAGTTGGTGGGTTTTGGTTAGTATGACCTTGTACGGTGGAATTAAAGGCTGGTTTTGTAGAAGGTTTAGCGCTACCAGGCTTGGGACCATGAGGTTTTGGTCCGGCGGGACCAGCTCCTGCAGACACTGGATTTGTAGATGGTTTAGCACTACCAGGTTTGGGACCATGAGGTTTTGGTCCGGCGGGACCAGCTCCTGCAGACACTGGATTTGTAGATGGTTTAGCACTACCAGGTTTGGGACCATGAGGTTTTGGTCCGGCGGGACCAGCTCCTGCAGACACTGGATTTGTAGATGGTTTAGCACTACCAGGTTTGGGACCATGAGGTTTTGGTCCGGCGGGACCAGCTCCTGCAGACACTGGATTTGTAGATGGTTTAGCACTACCAGGTTTGGGACCATGAGGTTTTGGTCCGGCGGGACCAGCTCCTGCAGACACTGGATTTGTAGATGGTTTAGCACTACCAGGTTTAGGACCATGAGGTTTTGGTCCGGCGGGACCAGCTCCTGCAGACACTGGCTTTGTAGCAGCTAGTTGGTGGCCATGTGTATTTGAGGCCGGTTTCGTGGGGGGCTTTGCTCTACTATTAAAAAGACTTCCTCCGTATGCAAACGGTATACCATGCCTGTCTAACGCGGCTCGACGGGGTGGAACTATATCATTTCGTTCACTTTCTGGAGCAACTCCTGAAACGAGAAAAAAAGTTGTTTCCTATGAAATAGATGACCCTTTGTCTCTGTCTCTCTGTCTTCCCTATCCCATCCTCTGTCTGTCTGTCTGTCTGTCAGTCAGTCAGTCTGTCTCTGTCTGTCTAACAAAAAATATATAACCACATTGAATGCGCGACGCTTAACACACACCTGATTTTGCTGTGTAAATCTCGTTGTTACACCAACTCTCATCACAGCAGAATGTACATTTGCCCTCAAAAGCACCCATACTGGCCCAGTAACATTCTTCTGCATTGTTCTCCTCCTTGTTCATACAACTCTGTTTAAAAGTCAAAGATTAAGATTACAAACTTAAGATTGTAAAAAGTATGGTTCCTTATCTTTCTTATCTACTTTTTTCTTTTCTCTACTTTCTTTTGGGATATTTTCAAATTATGAAAAAGAATTGAGTGAAAAAAACAAGTTTCGATATCTCCTCTCATTTTTGACTATTCTGATCACAATGGACATATCAATTAAAAATTCAATCCTTCCACAAGTGTATTGCGGGCATAAGGAACTACAACTCTCACTTAACTGTAATGTATTGATAATGGTCAATCTGAATGTAATTATAGCGTTCCATGTATTGTATACTTTATGTTATGGTATTTGAAGTCCTACGTCTTCAGTGTGAAACTATATTATCCGGCGGAATAACAAAGCATGTATATATAACAATAGAAAATTCACTGTTTATGAATGACAACTAAACTTCAATATTTTTTTTATTTTCAATGCCCAACGGAAAAAATGTCAAACTTTCCACCCCAGTTTTTAAATGTAATGCATCCTGAAACAAAGAATATCTTTTTATCAACTACTGTGTTTATCGGGTAAAATGGCAAGCACCAGGCTGAGGATGCTGGCGTTTGAAAAGTTCGAAAATTGATGTTATTTTGAAAGTATTTATCGAAAAGATTACGACAGTAGTAAATACTGAAATATTTTGAATGTGTATACGAATAAATTGTTTGACTTATGCGTAATAATTGTGAAATTTTGTACTCGACCATGATGTGAACAATCCTCTTCCTCAACATCACCTTTGAATTTGGGTCAAATTGAATACTATCGCGTTACTACTGGGCCCAAATTTAACACTCTTCCGTTACTGGACCGAATTAATACTATCTCGCTAGTCGGCCAAATCTAATACTATTCCATTACTGGGCCAAATTAATACTATTTCGTTACTGGGCCAAATTAATACTATCTCGCTAGTCGGCCAAGACTAATACTATTCCGTTACTGGGCCAAATTAATACTATTTCGTTACTGGGCCAAATTAATACTATTTCGTTACTGGGCCAAATTAATACTATTTCGTTACTGGGCCAAATCAATACTATCTCGCTAGTCGGCCAAGTCTAATACTATTCCGTTCATGGGTCGAATTTAATACTGTCACGTTAGTGGGCAAATTTAGTATTTTTGATACTGTTCCGTTACCGGGCCCAATTTGATACTAGCATGCTTCTGGGGCAAATTTGATACTAACCCGTTGAACACTTTCTTTACAATTTTAATTCGTGTATTTTGTTAATTATGTTGGGAACAGCATGACTCTGATTTTGATTGATTAAAAATGGCTTTAATTACTTTTCGTGACATTAGAAATTACAAACACCAGAAACCTCTCGTTGTGGAGTAATCTGGTAACAGTTGTACTTACTGTGGCGTGAGAGCATCCTTTAAAAATGGTAATCTCTCCACGGTCTCCATACACATACTGAGTCATACACTGTTCCTGTGATATTGAATACAAGTTTATACATGAGAGAGACACTCTGACAAATAAGAAAGAACACAATCAAACACTGTTGTTTCTACTGATAGTAATTTAGTTGAGTTCCCTTCATTATATTGCAGAAATTATATATTTTACGTTTCATACCAATGCTCAATTACAATTGCTGTCCTTTGGTGCTTTCTCTGAAAGCATTTTTGCGACAATCATATCCTGGATTCTATATCTTGCTTTTTCATGAATTATTTGTGAATCTTAAAGTGGGATTAATACTTACGTGGCCAGTTTGACAAACAGATGTCTGTTCACATTTTTCGCCCTCCTTTAAGTCCACGCATGCGTAACAGCTGAATTCTGGTTTCTTGTTCGATGGGGCCCCATTTATCCCCAACCCTAAATAAACAGACTTAGGCATGTCAAATATATAAAACATTTAAATGTCGAAGGATATGTGACCAACGACACCGTATACACAAGTCTGTATACCTTGTCACTTGGTCACAGTAACATCAGGATACAGACAAGAAATGGTTAGTGTCATAAATTATATCCTTTAGTTTGGCTTGATTCAGGAAGACAAAACTGTCTCGCCTTTCATCCTGATTCTTAAAAGTGTTCAAATTATGTTTACCTCACTGTTTGACGTAGGCCTGGTTGCTTCAACCAAAACAAATGCTCCATGCGAAAATAAATTTCAATAAGCTTGTCCAGTGGAAGGAATAGAGTCGCTTATTTCAAGATTTTTTTTTATATCATTAAAATAACATTAAAACCATAAAAATAGCGATGATTTTTAAAATTTCAGCGGTACGTTTTTTAATTGTCGTTCTCTACATGCACATTGAAATTAAAAACCATTCCGTTTAGAAAGACAAAATAAAACATGCAATATGTTGGCTTACATTGTTAGGAAACGTACATGCGATCTCGATCGATTGGCGCAGAAGGGTAAAGAACTCTTCAGAAATGGAGATAAAAAAAATGAATATTGCATGGTAGCAATCTTCCGAAGCTCGCGTAAATCAAAGGGAACTCTATTTCACGAGAGTTTTTAATACAGGAACATTAAAATCACAAAGAAATGATCAGTTTGGATTATAATAGAATGTTTATACTATAAATAGATTATAATAGAATGTTTATACTATAAATAGATTATAATAGAATGTTTATACTATAAATAGATTATAATAGAATTTTTATACTAATTAGCTGATGTTCAATCGGAAGGATACCTGGACATGTTGACACATTTATTTGTAAACAAAATTCCAACTGTTTTCTGATTTGACTTTTCAAGTTCATATATGCTATGCATAGTAACGTAACTTGCCTATATCCATGGCAGAGATTTTTAAGTAATTTATACGGTAAGTTGTCCAAGTCAGTGATAACAAACATTCATAACTGGGTGATCAGGTGTAGTCACTGGAGGACAAGACAAGGTAAATAATTAGCAATCTAAGTCAACAAATCCTCGCTCTTTGTTGACACACGGTCTTGGATGTATCAAGATCGGAAATGTAGAGGAGAATTTCATTGTCTCTAAACGAACACGATTCACTCCCAATGTATATTATTAAATTAAGTTCGTCAGATCTTTACAAACAATTTACTTAATTGTTTGTTTAAAGAATGGCCTGTCTTACGTCGCAGTATGTTTACAACTTAACCAAATGCATATTCATGCTACAGCTAACACCCCCAATATCTGTATATAGTTGTATGATAAGGTCAATGAATGCTCAGATATACCGTCAGCATTAAATTATACTCCAATAACGTATAGGAGTGTATTGGTACCATGGTAACTTTTCTCCATTCCAGTCTCTCCCGTTTATGGAGAAATTCTTTGTAGGTTATCTACTCTTGAGGGCTACTTGTATTGACTAGTACTTGACATAGTCAGGGTTTTACACCAGAGGTGTTTCTATCTACACTGAAGACATGTGGTGGTCGTCACCATGACCTGGTGTTGCCCTGGCTGAAGTTATATCAAATGCGTCAATTGTGTCTGGGTTCTTTGGTGAAAGGCAAATATCCGAAATCTAACGAGGAACATTCATGAGAAACAACTAGACCTGTCCCCCAAGATATTATATATATATATGTTTTCACTATTTATATAACCATTACAAAATGAGAAGTATGTAACACAATTTAAATAATTAATGTGGAGATTATACACAAGTTTCTGTAAAGACTGTAAAAGTTGATTAATTACTTTAAGTAATATGAATAAGACATCTGTAACGAGATTATGGGACAATCAGATGACTTATGCGGATGAACAGAGCGATTTTTGGATAATTGGACATTCATTCCATCATTCCGGATTTGTTTTGTAAATGGTATGGAAACGAAATAAAGTGGATATAGACTTGCGAGATGTGTTGATTGATGTCAGTTTTCTCTTTAACACATGAGTGTTCACTTGCTCACGGGCAAAAGAGATAATTTAGCAAAGTTAATATCTTACAAACGGATGCATGACCGACGAGCTGTTGCACAGCCAATTTCAGAAAAAAAAATGGTGATTGGTAATATTGAGTCCCCTAGACAATCTATAAACGCCTAAACTAATGATTCAAATCACGCTTCCATCCTCCCGCTAAATACGTTTGTATAACTGCTGGCGAGTGCATTATCCCCACTGCTGGGGTACATGTGTAGACTGCATATTTAGGGATACATGCTCGTGTCTTTTTTAGTGATGGAATATCAATGTATCTATAATAAACTATAGTAACAAAATTCATACGTGTGTCTACGACTTTACAAGGTTTGCTGGTGGACACGATGGTATCGTTTACAAACATTCAACGTACAATGGTAGTAATAAAATGTTTGAACATATTTCGAGTTTATTCACTTTGATAATAGAAAGTGAGAAAAATTGATCTTTTGCATAAAGGTCATGGAACACAAACGGCGGCCCTAATAAGTATTATCTGAGATATTTGAAACGAATATTCAAGTAAAATAATGTCGGTGATAGTACAGTCAAAATTACTTTGAAATCTATCATCTTCTAACTTACCAGAAAGTGTTAGTACAATATAGAGAATGGTTCAAATGTTTTGACAATTATAAGACATTTGACGCAGTATGGCGCTCCGGTCTACTGTTCAAAATACATGAAATAGGACAGATGGTAAAGTATGGATGATACATAAATAAAGGTATACACGCGTGGTAAGTTCCGTATTGTTTAATGACTGAATATCAAAAAGTATTATAATGGACAGAGGAAGTTCACACGGAGATCTTATCCACAAAAAAAGCAAACAATTTATATTAAATATTGAATGAAATAGAAACATGCAGCAAATGAGAAGTAACTATTCTTTATTTTCTAGAACGGATGATCTGTGTCGTGTAAATAAGAATTTTCATCAGTTACAAGAATTACCATAGGTGAAAACTGCAGTAAGAAATGACGCTTTACATTTTCTTTTGTGTCCTTCCTCTACGTAACATGGTATTATCTTCTGATAACTGTACTTTACATAATATACAGAAAAAAAACATTACAAATGTGATTGTTTGATTCGTTAGAAAGAACTACTAAAGCATGTCGTAAATTAAAAACTGATAACATTGATTTTCTTAAGTCATGTTTCCAAAACCATCTCAGTGTTACTAAATTAGTCAAAATTAAAGATTATCCGTCCGCTGTAACATCTTGTTGTCAAGTTTATACAAGGGTTCGAGAAAAGAATCAAAACAGACGTATGTGATGACTAGATTAGCACTGAATCTTATTTGCTTGTACACAAAATATTCGTCTCTAGATTTTTTTTGTTTCATGTGAACGTGGAAAAGCAGCAGGGATTTATACTCAATATTATGTGTAATCTTAAGAAAATATTCATTGCAGAATTGTTTTGTTAACTGCCACTATATTGTAGATATATTCATCATATCGTAATTCAATTTCTATCAATGTGTTATTTGTTATATAATTCAAAATATATAATTCACTGCTTAAATCACTTTTCTGTCTAATATAATGAACAATAATTGTGGAGATCAGTTTGCAAATAATTCAGTTTTAGAAAAGTGTGCGGTTAGAAGATTCTGATAATTATAGCAGAAAAATTTATTGGTGAGTTTCTGTTTTTCTTACAATAATCAAAATGATTGTATCCCTCATTCAACTATGCTCAGCTACACACTAGTCAGGATTACTAACATAGGCCTAACATAAACTGTAGATTATTATCATTCTGAAAAAAATGTGACAATAATATAATTATTATCTTATTTTTATGAATGATTATATATTTGTCAAACTAAGGAAAGAACGCAAATTACTTGTAGAAGTAGTAAAGTGTATGTATATTCAAAGCATTAAGCAATATATATTCAGAAATATTTTTAGCATTTTTTCGCAAAGTATGGCAAGTTAAACATTTTACTATAAAAGTGTATTAGAATTTATATAATAATAATAATTTCTTACACTTATATCACGCGTTTATAAAGCTGTTGTTGCCTACATGAATAAATAAAGAGTCTGAATTACAATTGAAAGTAAAAAATTCTAGCATCGAGAGTTATCAAATAAAAAACCAAGTTCTACAATAATCATAATATTTAAAAAAAAACTTTCGTACCTGCGAGAAGACACAGTAGAGCTATATATGACCTCATGCTTGGAAGTCCCTCGTCCTTTGACGAAGCTATCATGACATGTCTCCATATCTATGATTCCGGGTACGTCCTAATCTCGACGGGTGGGTGTATCTCTAATTCGCATCCGATAGGGGGCGTTGTCAACACGTGTGCCCACTCAGTGACATTTATCTTCCACATTATGGGCGTATATCTGTTAATATATCGCCTTGTTAAACAAAAGTGAAACGTAAACTCTCATAATGACATACATAGTGTAGCTAACAAATGATTCCCTTGGTTTAATAAGATGACTTTTTTATAGCCAAATATTTCTTATTTATCATTGCCTTATTTCTTTATGTATTCGTTTAGTAATATCGACTTCTGTTCAAATATAGAATATCTTTCAAAACATAGCTTCATATGACATCACTCAAACTGTATCTGCCGGCATCAACTGTTGTCTTAGTTACAGCAGGTATTGCCTCCATTCAATAGTATAACACGGATTATATAGCCGGGTGTAATTAAATAACAGAAAGTCTGTCTATATTGGAAAAATAAACCAAAAATCTACATTGTTCTGTTGTATGTTCCCTGTAATCTTTGTAACATGTGGTTTTCCGTTTTTGTATCTCTGTTGATGGTCCTAGTGACCTTTAATGTGTTAACGGGCCGTTAAGAATGTAATAATAATAATTGTATCTGTTATCTGTTATTCATATATCACAATACTAACCAAAGAAATGTAAAATGCTATGTCACAAATAACTACATGTTTTCAACCAATTAGTA